CCACCGGGGTGGAGTGTCCCCAGGGACAGCCCCACTCTGGTCCCCTCAGCTCCCTTCCACCCAGCCCTGGCTCCCGTTTGACTAAGGCATAATAAGCAAATCGGGGAGAAAAGTTGCCTCTGAGGCAGAGTTGTAGTAAGATGCAGGGATGGGAGAGGTTCTATCATTTTGCTTGGGAGCAAGCTGCTCTTAGGCTAACTTAAAGCACCGTTTCTGCATAGCCAAGGTGGCATCTGTGTGGTTTCAGCAACAAACTCCTTTTCTAGGAACAGTTGGAGGAAACTCCTTTTCTCCCAACTCCTCTTCTAGGAACCGTTGCCGTGACCTTGCACTGAAGGAGTTGTTTCATTCCAGCATCCTTCTCTAATTTGAGTGTGTACTTGGTATGTTGGGTGGATCATCAATGCTTTGAGCACACCGCTGCCCTCCTGCAAACACACAAGAATAAAACTGATGAGAATTAATTGCTCTTTTCCTGCGAGGCTGAGACTTTCACCTCACTTTGATGCTGCAGGTCCAGCTTTGGGGATTCGCTGTTGTCTCCTTGCACGGGGTCCCTCTCAAACTTCCCCCAGGCAGCCACTGCGATGGCTTTTGTGCCGCTTGAAGTGCCAGTGCTGCAGTGGGCACAGAGCCTAAGATGGGGTTGCTGAGTTTAGTGCCATGCAGCCCTGGCAAGTAGCCCATATACTGAACCTATCAAACTCTAAAAATCCTGCATGGAAAGAACTGGTTTAAAACACAGGGCAGCCACATGAAGAATAGCTCCCGAAGCTGTTCCTCAGCACCAGAATCTCATCAGCAACCCGGACACAGGAGGTCTTTACTCCCACCACTCCACAGAAACCAGATCGCTCTCAGTTTTGACTTAGTAAGGCTGCTACTACAGTACAATATTTTTAAATCTGCGTGGTCTTTCAATGGAGCTTAGAGAACATAATCAAGATTCCCTCCTCTTTTTCCTCTTTTTTTTTTTTTTTTTTTTTTTTTTTTTTTTTTTTTTTTTTTTTTTTTTTTTTTTTTTTTTTTTGCTATCTATCTGCTCCTGTTTTCACTTGGATGTCTACACTAGGAAACAATGTTTGATCATTTTGCTATCCTGTTCTTAACCTGCTCATTTATACTACTTTTTGTGTCTCATTCGTGCTTTAGGAGTAACCTTGTCCTTATTTTGGGCTTTAACAGAAGGTTACTGATGTGTCGGAAAAGTAGTAAGCACTTCATTTATAGTCAGAATGGATCGTATACAGAAAGCATCTTTACATCATGATGCTTGTGATATAGGCTCAAGGCTGGGAGACAGTCTGTGCAAGTTTTTCTGTCTGAAGAGAGTTAACAGAACTTCCACCAACTAAGAAAGGGGGAAAGGGAGGGATCCCAAGTGCTATAGCCAAAGATTTGTAATGCAGTCACTTCATTTGAAGTAGTTTGTGATCATATATCCTAGATTTTGGACTTGTTCCCACTGGATACAATGGGATAGGATTGGGACACAAATCTCCAGCCTTATGTATATTCAGGAGGGAGAATTTGCTTGAATTTCTGCTGTGTTACTTTTCATAAGCAATCCCTTCACTCCAAATATGGTTAAGAAAGCAAGAAGCCTTTTGTGAGCTATACAGATTATTTTATTTTTAAAAATCTGTGCCTGATATTATACACAGTAATGGATGTATACTTTCATGTGGCATCTGTCAGCAGTATCACTGTGCATTTAACACATTTTATAGGGATGATTTTGCTTGTAGCATCTTAATTCCTGTCCTAGTTTGTATCTAGGAGATTTAGTAGTTCTCTCTTCTTCCATTTCTAGATGAAATACAATTTCTTAAAGAGGCTTGGTACTCTTTAAGTAGTGAAGAGCTGAACTTTTTTGTAAAAACAGTGAAACACCACTGCAAAACAGGCCTTCTAATGCACCCTGCAATGGATTCTCAGCACTGCTATCTTCTCTATTCTGCTTCAGATGTTTTTCCATTGCCATTTCCTATCTTATTCTTTCAGTCTTTTATTTGCTTGATGAGGTAGAGAGTTTATCCTCTCTAAAAACCCTGCCCACGGCTAAATACCAAGGAAACTGTGATGGAAGAGCATGATACATTCCCTTTATTTTTCATTCTGGGCACAATGTCAGAGCCTGCAGCGCATCCCCCTCACAGGGGTTTAGTTAGAGTTAGAGTTTAGCAATTTTAGCTGTCTGAGTCCAAGGGCAGCTTCGTTACTGCTAAATGCTGTTGCAAAGAAAGCTGATGTACTACAAGACAGGGAGCAAATGGCGCACCAAGGGTTTTAATCAAATATATCTTAATGTCCTCAGCGATTCGAATGTTATTGATATTTGCTTTGTAATTAAGGTCACATCCTCCCTATTTCTCCTAGAGTGCCTTTTGTTGGAAGATAGTAATATGTGTGGAGTTCATCCCTGAAGGAACACTGTAGTGATTTCTAGAAATACACTATTCACAGTAGGACTAACTGTAAAAATTGAATTTGATAAAGAAAGAAGATGGCATAAACTGCTGCACTGCGTTGTCTTTAAAAACCTTCTTTAATTGTCATTTTGGTTTAGAAAAAGAGAAAATACACTATAGAATGAAAGTGCTAGTCGAATGCACTGTCAGCTAGACCGGTGTGAAGCAGTGCTGACATTTTTTGTTAAAAAAAAAACTTTGTTTAATGAATTTTGAATGTAAAAGAAAAAAAAGACACTATAGGGTGATCAGCAAAACGCTGAATACAGTAAACATCTTTCATGACAAAGAATACAAATACCATGCAGATCTGCTTTCAATAGCAATTACTAGGCCCCCTGCTTTCAATAGTTAATACCGAGGCCCCTCTCTCACCAGCCTTAGTGGTTACAATCACAAGCCAATGCTTAAAATGTTGACATGCTAAGCACATTTAGAAAACCTATGTCTGCATTCCCTATGGATGGTGTAGCATAACTGTCTAACATCTAAGTGCAACAGTTAAAAACAAAGTCAACTCAGCTAATCACCCCACCTCTCCTGACAAGTTGTATGTATGGATAATGATCTCTCCTAGACATTCCCCTTCTGCCTTGCATGATGTCAGTGGATTTCTGGCTGCTCTGTCCTTGTGAAATTTGCAGCAGGGTGTATGTTTCCATAGGGAAAATATGTCTCTAATGGAAAAAAAAAAATCAAAGGCCATTTAGAGAGGCATGTGTATTGTGCTTATTCTTCCCAGCGCCTGGGAAGGGATATGAAAGCGTTATGGATTCTAAAAGTTATATCAGCAAAGGTCGGGAATGAAACTGTTGGAGAAATACTGAAAATGTAGATGATAAACTGGATTCAGGGCAGTGAGATAGAGAGGAGATGCCAAAGAAAAGCAAAATAATTACTTTGATTTTGAACCTATATCTAAGGAGAATGATGAGGGGAAGACATGGATTAGTACTTTTAGCCTGGAAGTGTATTCTTGAAAGAAAGCTGATGCCCTTCCCATTCTTCTCTTCCCTTTAGCCTAACTGGGAGCAGGTGTCTAAGCAGTTTCACAGGCAGATTTTGAAGCATGGCAGTGAAGTTAGAGAGCATTTGCTGTGCTAGTTTTGGCCCAACTACAAGGTTAGTTAATCCTGACATGAAAAAGGACCGCATCCATCACATCCTATCCACTGATTCACACCAGTGACTTTCAGTCCACAGCATGAAGACCTTTCCCCTGGCTCTTTTCCCTGGGGAGTTCTCGAAAGGTGATTCTGGAATGTGAATTCATTTCCATCTGTGCCTCAATCTGTGTATGTGAAGCATCGGTGTCTGATACTTTTGGAGCATCTGCAACCCAAAAAGTTTGTCCAAAACCTTTGGTTTTTATACTTTGTCCACCCCTTAGGCATCTATCACACTGGTCTACCTCAGTGCCCTGTGTCTCCCACTCTCCTTTCTTTGAAGACTGCCCTTGAACCATGGCAGATGGGTCCTATCCTTTAGAGAGCCACGTGAGGAACACTCCGGAGCAGAGCAATGTGCCAGGCTGCGGGTGCCTCTGACTTGACTCTGGAGGGAAGACTGGGTGGTGAATTTTCTGCTTTTTGGTGAATTTTCTGAGTTCAGTTTTCTCAAGAGTGAAAAGAGTTCTTGCAATATGTAATAGCACATATATGAAAAGAGGAAGTTGTAACATTGGGGAGCCTGATATGTGTTCAACGTGCTTTCAGAGACGGCTAGAGGAAAGCTACTCTTATCAGCTTCAGTGTTCTGTGTGCACACACCTAGAAATTTGGGTTGGAAGGACCTCTAAAATACAAATTTCCACTCACTGTGTTTAAAGATAGTTAATTTTCAGAAACCAAGCATATTTTCATCACGTTTTGCCCCGTGTGTCATTTTTTGTACCGAGTCCCCTGCCCACATTAGTTACTGTTCTGCAGAAGTGCAGTCTGTCTTTTAAAAATAGAAAAGATCTATTGAGAAAAAAAAATCTACATTATATGCTAATTTTCTACACAATCCAGAGGTCCTGGTTTAAACTGTCATGACAGGTTAAGCTGTCTTAAACTGTTTTAAACTCTCTCTGCTTTTAAACTGTCATGACAGTTTGAGAGGTCATTTACTGCCCCATAAAGGTTTGTAAAACTCTTTTTTTTTGTTGTTTTGTTTTGCTGATATGAATATAGGAAATGTTAGACGTGGCCAGTGCAGAGGCTCCTGCCCAGGCAGAAGCCCGCGGCCGGCAAGCATGCTTTCAGCAGCAGCATTGGTGGTTCAGTGGTAGAATTCTCGCCTGCCACGCGGGAGGCCCGGGTTCGATTCCCGGCCAATGCAGTTGGTTTATTTTTTCCCCTCTCCTTTATTTTTCCTCCTCCTTCCTCAGTTTGTTGCCTTCTTCCCGGTCTCCACACCTTCTTTCCTGTTGACCCCGACCTTCCCCGCGCTCTCGCTGGCCGGGCGCGTGCTGGGAAGGAAAGGGAAGGGAAGAGAAGGCGAAGGAGAAGGAAAGTCCCGCCCCAGGCAGGCGCGGGCCTCAGTGCGCAGCTGCGGGGACAAGATGGAGGTGTAAGGAAGGCGGCGGCGCCGGGGGAGGTGGTGGGTGGGATTGCGGCTCTGCTTGGGATGTATGTGGGGTGGTATGGTCATAGGAGCTCTCGTGCGAGGTGCTGGGAGAGTTGTAGGTGCATAGGCCTTCCCGCAGTGTGTGTGCGGATATAGGTATATGGGCCTGGGCGTTGTGGAGGGAGATGGGGGTGTTTAGGACCTCCCTCACTGTGTATAAGAGGGATATAGGTGTATGGGTCCTTCCACGTTGTGGTGTGTAAAGGTATGCGTATATGGGCTGTCCTGTGGTGTGTACGCACGTATGGATCCTCCCGCCGTGTGGGACCTGCTGTGTGGGGGCTGCTGAAGCATCTCTTTGGTTGGGAACAAGACACCGCGGCTTAGCCCTAATCCCCCTCTAAACCCGCGTGCCCCTGCCCTTCCTGGTTTAGCCCTAATCCCGCTCTAAACCTGCGTGCCCCTGTCCTTCCTGCCCCCGGAGACCGGCGCCCCCCTCCCCTTCTTCCATTGCGTGCCAGCAAGGTGAAGCAAAACCTTCGCTCTCGCCTGAAAATACACGCTAGAATTCACCCTTTATATTTTTCTTTATGCAAATTCTTGGTTTTTTTCTTTAGCATTTGTGATAGCACAGAAGAAAGCAGCTCTGCTTTATGAACACCACAAAATTTTTGAAACACTAGTTTGACCGTTGGTCAGTTTGTAGTTCTGGTATTTCAGCGCAGCAAAAATTCTTGAGGATTTGAGGTTTAGGCGGGCTCGTGTTTACTGCCTGTTTGTTACATGGAGAAATAGGCATTTTTCTAAATGCCAAAATGTTTCATAATTACAAAGGAAGCAGTTGTTTTTAGTTTTAAAATCAATATCCCAGAGACTCTCTTCTTGCACCAGGAACTCTTGCCTTCATGTCATCATCCCACTTCTTTAATTGAATAATTCTATATATTTAATTCTCCCATCGCAGCACTGTTTCCAACAGAGAATGTCCTTGATCCATAGGGATTTCCGTAGAGAGAGCCTGAATGCACAGATTCTGGAGACTTGCACTGACCTAACAGCAAAAGCTATATGGTTTGTGTAACATGAATGCAAACTAATGCATGTGTGAGCTCGCTTGCTGCGTTTCGCCCTGGTCAGCTGAATGGAGTTTGAAGTTCATCTCAGCATATTTTAGAAGGTCCTTTTCATTTAAAAACAATGCTAGAACCTGTGGAAGTTTGTGGACGGTGTTTAACTTGTTTGAAAAGTGATGAACGTGGCAGTTCTATTGAAGCAGTCGGCGGTGCTTGACAATACATTGCACCTTTTTTTCATATGTTATTGCACAGACCTGAGAAAGGCCTTTTTTTTTCTTTTCTTTTTTTTTTTTTTCCCCCCCTTTTGTATGGTAACTTTCTGTTGTTGCGGCTCTGCTGGCTGTTTGCTCAGCACGTTGCATTATTCGGGCAACGTATGGGGTTCTGAGTCAGTTTTTAACTCTCTCCTTTTTTATTTTTAATTAAAAAAAATACCAAATTACAATATCTTGTAGTAATAGAGCCACAATTAATTTAGAAATCTTCTTAACTCCAGGAGTATCCAATTAGTCTAGCATAGAAGATGACTCTTTCTTAATTGGGATGGAATTAGCAGATAGGTAGTTTGCCTGGTGGAAAATGGTAAACTCGCAGCCTTGCTGTGCTGATACAGGACTAGTCACATAAAGACTGGAAGAACAAATAAAGAATAAAGGCAAGATGTTTCTGTTATTCACTGTATAGTGAATATAGTGTTATATTTGCATATATTATGTATGCATTGTACTACAAATAGCTGTTTTCTTTTTCCTTGTTCTTGAGAAGTGAGTAAATAATGTCCATGATCTTGCACGTTTTCATCAGTCCCGTTCAAATAAAACTGTAGATTTTTTTTTTGTAAGGAAGAAGCAATGCAACTGGGTTTTAATTGGTAAAATATGCCTGAATAAAAGACTGTGTGAAGGGATTGTGTAGTGTGAGTGTATTGTGATTTATGGGATGAACTATGCAGAATACGGTGCATATATTTATAAAAATATTATGCATATAGTATGTAAAAATAAATATTTTTCCAAAGATGGAAATGGTCTGATAGCAGGAGAACTACGAAAATAGATTTCTTGACGATATTATGAAGAAAGAAACTGGCTTTGAAAATAGTTCTATTCTTTAGAGTCAGCATGGCTCAGCAAAGAAAACTTTCACTTTTATTTCACACATAAATAATTCTTTTTCTTTTTTTTTTTTTTGGTAGGAAAGACGCAAATGCTGCATTGCTAAGTAACTTTGAGGTAAGTTTATCTGCATCCTGTTTTTAAAATAGCAGTCAGTCACTTGCACATTGCTTTTGAAGTTGAAAGATGTCGGTGGCAATTGGCAAGACCCACATGTGGCTTTTTTTTTTCTCCTTGCGTATGGTGGTTTGGTTTTAGAGTTTGACTCTCTATATTTTGTATACACTTATGTATTTGGGTAAGTGGATTCACTGTTGCTCGGACTTTGGATGCCTCACATTGCAAATCCTGGAAGTTGTCAGTTCTGTAACCAGATAGCAATGTCTAAAATGAATTTGAATTTGGTCTTATGACAAACCAGTGTCCCACCAACTAAGCAATCCATTGATCGCTGGAATCACTTTAATGATGCGGATAAAACTTCTTGCAAAAAAGACACTTCCCCAGGTGACTGCTCTTCTAATCAGTGTTTCGTATTTAACTTGAGCTCTGTAATGTGCGGAATTACCGTGAGCCTACAAAACATCAATGCATAATTATATTATAGCCAGTGCTGCTGGACATACAGTTGTCTACCCCGGTTGCTTGATAGTGTTTTTTTAAAGCTTTTGGAGTGTTTCCAGTGTACATTAGACTACAGCAAGGGTGAAGCAGTTTGCACGTCTGGATGTGTTAGTTGTAAATAATAGCTTGAGCCACGATGTACTGTGATCTGCTGATGTGTGTAATGGAAAGAGTTCAGTGTTTTGTTTACAAGCATTTTTTAGATAGTTCTAATAACTTAAGCGCTTTTGCTTAGTTTTTTTTATTGCTGAGATTTGAAAATTGCACAGCTGTTTTTATACAAATTCAGAAATATGTCTTGAGATGTTTTTATCTTGAACTGCATCTGTGCGTATTCACATCTGAGCACATTCATCTGGCTGGCTATTCGAGGAGTTTTGATAAGGTACTTGGAAAGACCTGCCTTGCTTAAGAAATAGATGATATTATTTGGCCATGTTAGTATTAAATGTCTCTTAAAAACATCCAGAGAAAATAGCAAGCATTGCAGAGATCATTTCGTGCAAGATCAGCTCTGCTGCTGAGGCATGTCTTTTTTTGCTCTTCAAAATACTTATTTTCATAAAATTAAGCCCTCTTTCTATTTACTCATTTATTTACTTTTTTAACACCTTCCCAGGTGTACCAGTTACTTACTGATCTTAAGCAGCAGCGCAAAGAGAGTGGAAAGAACAAGCAGAGCTCTGGCCAGCAGAACCTCAACACAATCATGTATGAAGTGAGTAGAACTGTGAATTTCCTTTGCAAGTTACCACAAGTGAAGTAATTTCCCATCCTGAGTTGTTGATATTAATCACTGCAATCATGTTTATCCCATTGACAAGTACAGCAAATTTTTTATATATATATATATATATATATATACACACACACACATACATACAAACACACACACACACACACAAACACATTTATATGTTGGGGAGGGGTCCATTTTCATTATCTGTGGCCAGTTTATAAGGCTAATTGTGCCGTAAGTGCTATTTCCCTGCAGAGACAGCTGAGTCGGAGTGGTTTATTCACCCAACTGTAATGTGCTACAGTCAGAGCTGTAGCATTTCCAGGATCAGCTCTGGTTTCATTTTCTGTCCCCTGTGTATGGGACAGAGCACTGACTGGCTGGCCCTGTGGATTCATGCTGACCACACCGTATCTCCTTGTTTTTCCCAGTATTTCCTTTCGGGGGAACACGGAGCAGTGCAGTACTGGGTCCCAAGTGACAGAGTGGGTCCAGCCTACAGCAGCACTGACTGTACTGTTAAAATAAAACTGTCTTATCCAAAGAGCTGGAATGAGAATGTACTGGCTAATTGAGGCAAAGACATGGAGTTGAGATGAGCAGTGTTAACTTGCTCTTGCTCTTATTAAACTCTGTCACACACACAAAAAAACTCTTCCGTTTGTGGGGAATTTTTGTTTTCTTTGTTTGAATATTGGCAGTGCTCTGTCCCACTATATCAATATCACTGGGAGCCTAGTCCAACAATAAATGTCTGTTGCAAGGAAGAACTTAAAAAATCATACAGTACAGGAATTAACATTTTTTAATATTGCTAAGTAGCAGTTTTGTAACAGAATAGTGATCTGACCTTGTGCCCATGTCTGAGAATTGAATGAGTGTCTCCATGGCTGGCAGGGAGCTGAATGTAGTTTGCCTTGCTTGCATGAGTAATCCCATTGAGCAGAGAAACTACTCATGTGAGTAAGATTTGGCCTAGGCTTTGTTTTTATTTTAGTTCTGGCTTTGTTTGAAAAGGTTTGGAGCTGTAATTCCTAAGCCTCAGATCCAACAAAATAGAGACTTACCAAAAATCTAGTTTAAATCTTTATGGAGACTGACAGTCTATTCCTCTGCTTCTTTGAAACAGCTGTGGAAGACCCTGTAAGTATTTTTATATCAGAATGCACCTTAAAATTCTGACTGTCTTGTTATATTGCAGCATATTAAATGCCAATGGGGTGCCTTTTTTTTTTTTTTTTTTTTTTTTGGACAGGGAGCAAGGCCAGTGAAAAATCTACACACATTTTCTCTATATTTCTTATATTGCTGGAAGAGAACAGGAATTTGATCTTAAGTTTTTATTGCTCATATTGAGTATGTTTTCACAAGCCCTGTTCAGGCATGTATCCACTCGCATTGAGACCACTAGATGAAGCTTACTAAAGTGGAGCCATATTTTGATATATTTGTCACTTTAATTGACTTGAAATCACAGAAAAAGGCAGCCTGGAACAGAAATGACTCCTATAAAGTAATTAAAACCATCACATTTTTAATGCAATAATTTTTATTTCACTCATTATTGGTGAGTAATAATTCTGCTTTATCTGAGAAGGTCAATGAGAACTTAAATGAGGCATAGTTATCTAATAACTTTTAATACTTTTAAGTATATAGCTACATAAACCTGGTCATTAAGAATGCCAGCGATTCATATTTCATCCAGTGTGTATCAGGTAGGGTTAACTGTCCTGTAAAGTCTGTTTTCATTTACTTCAGCTTTTAAAATTAAAATATATTTTAGTGGAAATATACTGGAAATATAATTGCATATTTTCTTAGCTGCCATATCCAAAGAGAATCTTGTAGATTGCTTTTTCCCAGTTTCAAATTATTTTCTGTTCTGTAAATACTGATGTAGCTTTTTTGGCTTCTGACTTTTCAGATACACACTTTAAAGCTTTTCTGAGAATAACTATGTATGTTAGAAGACCTTCTACATGTTATGCTTTAAATTATCTGTGCATATAGCGTCATACTGCACATTTATGTCTTCTTTGTGCTTCTGCTCTAGATACTGCATTGTTCATCTGCTGTATAAATATCTTTTAAATCTTATCTTTCTAACACAGTTTTCTTCATTTTGGTGTCTAATTTAAACAACATTCAGAAAAAAAGTTTAAGCTACTGCCGATGAAAAGAGAGGAATTTGTTTTTCTTTTAATACAGGTCTGTAGCGACATTTTTTTAAGCAGCTCAAATTACTTGATATATTTATTATCTCTCTACTCAGTGTCGTGTTTTAAAGAAGGCAAATACAGCATCTGCTGTGAAAGTTAGCCGAGCTTGATAAGCGTTATATGTAACAGAGCAAAGAAATTGTCTCAAGTCAGATAAAGATTTCTGAGGAAAATGTGACAATTTTCTTGCAGATTTTTAATGACAACCTACTTAAACTTCCTGTATGAGCTTAAGAAAGTGTTGTCAAATAATGTTTCTAAAAGATGAGAACAGCTATAGGTTGGAAAATCTTTGCTAGTGCTGTGCAGCCTGAGGAAGATATTTATGAGCTGTGAAAGGATCCCTGATACGGAATTCATGAAAACGTGGTAGAAGATAAAGTGATTTTTCAGGGTGAATAAAAACCCTAAATTGACTCCAGATTTTTCTCAATAGTCCCAAAGAGGCCTTTCAAAAAACAGCTTGTTTCACAGACAACAACAGAGGCCAATAATAAGTGTGAAGTAATGTATACTTTCCTTCTTATAGACGCTGAAGTACATTTCAAAAACACCATGCAGATATCAGAGTCCTGAGACTGTAAGAGATTTCCTGACGACAATGAAAGGCCATAAGCTAACCAAGTAAGTAGAAATGTGGCTTTAAATAGAAATAGACATTAGTGGGAATATTAAAAAAAAAAAAAAAAAAAAAAAGAACCCAACATATGTACAATAGGATAATCTGGTTTTGATTAATGTATTAACATATTCAAGTTATTTTCCGACACTATAAATATATATATCCTCATCCAAATATCCGTTCCTGCGCTCAGACTAACACCTACAGGTGTGAATATTTACTTAAATAGGCCTGTGCTTGCCAGTGTATTTCTCAAATTCTTGTCAGTATTTCTTTAGTGTGGTTTCACATGCTATAAGCACAAAGTAGAACTGTCGAAATGTTTTGTGAGGAAGAACAATATAAGATGCAGATGAGTTTTGAATACAGTGAAAGAATTGAGATGAAAACAACCTCAATTTATTATCTGCTTTCTCATTTTTATGAACTTTCTTAAGAAAAAATGCTTTCTTTCCTAAAAGTGGAAGACGACGACCATATTGCAGGAAACAAGAAATAAAATTGTGATACAGATGTAATTGAAACATGTTCTTCCAGAGCTCAGTTTTACACAGCTCTGTGAACTGCAGCTGCTTCACATCATCTCACTTTAACCAGTGTTCAGCAAACTAGAAGTTTTCATCTTCCCTGTATGTAGACTTTAATCCCGTGACACTTATGTCCCCTAGGGTTTTGAAGAGCTGTACATAGCTTGATTGACACAGTATATTCAGGTGGCAGATTTTTTTTTCACAGTTTCCAGGAAAACTGAACTATAGGTTCTTATTCTTATTTTAGGATGTCCTGCATAGAAAACCTGTTTTCTTTTGCAGTTACAAGAAGATTCAAAGTCCTTTTTTTTTTTCCCCTCTTTGTCAGAGGTATAAATGCTTATTTACAGTGGTTCAAATGCATGATCCTTTCAAACCTCTCTTCAGAGTATGACTGAATCTGTCAGAAACAATCAGACCAAATGTGACTGAATCAGCGTGTTCCTTCTTCAGGTAGCTTTAATCAGTCATCGCTTTGTGAAAGGGTGCGTTTAAAGTAGAAAGTGCAAAGACTTAGTTGCTTCTGAATAGCTCCCTCTTCACCATGAAGGGATGGTCTCTGCCACAGAGACACTGGCTGCATTTTTCCTCTGTGCTACTTCTCCAGGGAGTTCATGCTCTGAGACGGAGCCTTTTATCCTTTAGTTGCCTCACAAAAAAAGAAATGCAAGTTGAGAGCATCTGGAGAGTGCTGTGTTACAAGGCAAGTGTTCAGCCTGTCCAAAAGCATAGTAATTTGAGTAGAAAGCAGGTTCACTCAGCTGTTTCATAGACTTTTTTTTTGTGCCAGCACTCTGAAGGTATTTGTCATAGCATCGCAGTGCATTAGCAGCTCTGATCGCAGCATTGCTGTCATTGCTGGCTTCGGAGTGGTACTTGCAAGCTTTGTCATGAGTATTTTAACTTTGCCTTTACTACTTTCTTTTGTAGAAGTGAAATTATCAGGTCGGTATCTCAGTGTTTAGTCCTCATATAGCTCGCCTTAAACAGCAGGATTCTACTAATTTATATAGCAGGCAGGCTAGCATAGTTTTATTTTTATTTTTTTGACACAGAGATATTTGAGCATGGGGGCATGCTCTGTTTACTAAACAGGAGTGATAATGTAGAAATTAAAAGGGTATCTTAAAATCTGTAGCAAGCATATCAGATTTCTAGTACTATATGTGCCATTGAAGTGAAATAAGCTTGCTCAGGACATGCAGGACAATGGCTTAGGAAAGCAGCAGAGGAATGCTGCATCGCAGCAAAAACAGGAGGAAGTGAAAAAGGCAGAGTGGGATTTTTTTCAGAAGTCAGATAGCTTTTTGTTCTGAGTTCTGTTTCTGAAATTCCTTCTGATAGAATTACTGAGAATTAGTCCAGGACCTCCGAGTTAACACTGATGCTCTTACAATAGTCATGGGAGCCCTGGTGTTATGTGTGAGATACCTTGACTGCATTTGATGCTCAGTATGGTGGGTCTCAGAGTGAAGAACTAAAGGACATTGGGCCAGAAAGGCAGAAAAATCCAACTACAAGATCTCCTACTTTGCATAGGTCTCTTGGAGAAGATTTTCTACCCAAATATTCATCTAGTCTTGTTTGTGAACTCTAATAGCATCGCTGCAAAGGATGAAATTTTTACAAGCTTTAAGTGAGCTTTTTGACTATTCACTCATCTCTAGATGGATGCCAGGAAATTCCTTTGCATTTAGTTGTCATCCTCTGTTTTTTTTTTGTGAATGAGATCTGTAAATAAGAGAATTACTTCCAAGTAATTTGCAACTATATAATGACAGAAGGATGAGAGTGAAGAGCGATCCAGTAGTTTAGGTTAAAAAAATAAACAGCATTTATAGCCTGTTAGAACTGAGATTGAACTATGATAACTTCATCACTTCTGCATCTTTTGCAACTTTACTCCTAACTAAAGAAAAAGAAGGAATTTGCCAGCCTTGTGCTTGCCGTGAAGTTTGCAAAATAAGAACCAGAATTGTTTAGAATGATCTTGACACTTTTTGTTTCCTCTAATGTTTCCAGTCAGCCACTCCAAGCTAGAGATATCAGAGCCATCTGGCAGCCACTTCTCACCAAACCCCAGAAAGCATGTGCTGTGCAATTACCATATAATATGCTTTATGTTAAACATTATTGCCTCCAAAGAACTCTTGAACTACCCTTTGGTTCATAACCAAGACCATTTCAACACTACTCTGTTGTTAAATAAATAGAAGAACTGAAGATTTTAATCATTCCATCCTGTGGGGTGGAGGTGATGTTTGTATGAAAGGGTCCACTTGAGGCTTTATTCTGGTTAGCTGGTTCAATTCTTGCTTCCTCTTTGAAAGGGAAGAAGCTGTGACATTTGCCCTCCAGACCTTGCTTAATGGATCTTCTCAATGTAATGACTTTTTCTCCCATGAAGAATAATGAACTCCAGAGTCTTTGCTACTTCCATGCTGGGTGAGACATTCAGAGCATAGTCTTAGCTGCTCACATGCTGTCTGCGTTAGTAACAGTTTTTTAAAGGTAGCTGAATTGATAACTAGATACATGAAAGATGATTTAGTATTGGCAAAAGTAAGACAAAGGTGTAATTTGCTTAGTGTCTGGTCTCTTAATGGGAGTTGCTGCTGTGTTTGTGAAAGCATCTACACTGCTGCCCTTGCAGGTTAAATTCCTTGTTATATCTCTGCATCCAACTGAGGAGAAAACCATTAAGCAGTGTTTGTGCTCTTAATTAGGCTTACCTTATTTTCTAGTATGAAGACTTAGAAAATAGTTCACCATTTCAAGGCTTTTAACATAGAGGAAATTGCAACTATGTGTAAAAATAAGAATAACAAATAAATGATGGATGGATGGATATTCAGCTGCCCTTCCCTGGTCTGCATGTCATTGCAGCTCCCAAGCACTAGGTCGTGCTAGTGTATGTAGAACTTTCTGTGTAGAAGAAAAAAGTCCTTTTTCCTAGGAGAGTTAAAAAATAATAATTACTAATGTGGAAAAACAGCTTATATTTTTTCAGTTTCAGCCAGTTGCTTTGCTAAATGGAGCAATTTTAGAGCCATCTGAACTTTTATTCTATTTCACTGATACGGTCGAGGTATGACAAAGCATAGAAATGTTTTTTCCTAGTCATTAGTATTTCAGTAAAATTGGATCCATGGAGCAGAGGGTTTTTTTTTCTTAGTGAAAAGGCTCTGAACTGACATCACAGGGGATTTTATTATTACCTTGTTGAGGCTTCAGGCTTTGGCTAAAGCTTCAGCATGGCGAGCCATGTTGTATTTGGAAATACAGTATGCTGCTAGTGGCTGATTTTTTCTAGTTTTAGCCTTTGGGATGGCTTAATATTTCACAAGCTAGTGCATCCCATGAAAAGAACATTTATTAAGCTTATGCTTTGTAATTTGGTTATATGTAAGTTGGCTTCTTGTATTTCTTCCTGTTATTATGTTAGATCTAGTTTGGGAATAATCAAATTTTCAATCACTGCCTAGTATTTAAATTTTAAAATATGGATATAAACATTGCCTTTAAATCAACATGCTCAAAGAAGCATCGAGTTGAAAATCAGTAGCACTTTTAGAAAGTATTTTCCCTTATTACTGCCAAAAACTACAGCAAAGGTAAACCTCTACAATAACAAAGATTTAGTGACTTAGTTTGTGATTTTTGTCACCTCCCAAGCTTTAAAATGTATATCCTACAGCCAAAGGAGGCTGGTATTACTTTAACAATCCTATTTAATACTGTCTTGAAAAAGACCACTATGTTTCCCACTCAAGTCAAAGGATTTGAAACTAATCCTTTGATATATAGCAGCATTTCCACAACTTTTTGGATTCATTCACCATTAGCAGCCTTCAGAATTAATTCTGGACAACTGTACCTACACTGAACTTCAGAGATTACCTGTGCTACAAATACTACCCAGTACTTTTCCTCAGACTGCCTTAGAGCATTCCTGCCAGGTCCTGTTTCAGACAAGGTTTTATATAGGCTATGTCGTTGAACTCAAGATCCTAGAATTTGATTCTTAAGTATTTTCAGCCAGTAATAAAATAGTGTTGCACATACTGTTGTTATTTTAGAATTTCCTCGGCAACTAAAAAGCACGCATACTGAGGCTAAATCTGCCTCTACACAGTCACAAATATTTCTTTTTTTTCTTAGCATATGCAGATGCACTACAGCAATTCTGTCTACCCAAATACTCAAACTGTTACTGCACACAAGAAGCAAGTTTTGTCTTCTAGGAGAACATTTCTGTGACCTTGAATATGGAGAAGTGCAACATCCCCACCTCTTAAAATATACACTCTTCCCTCAAATCACAACCTCAGATTGATTTTCTTCTCCCAAAACTGTGGGTGTTTTTGCTCCCCACAAGCTGAGCTTTGTGTGTCCCAAAGCCAGCTCTGCCCCCTTTCTCCCTCAGCTGGAAATGCTGGTCTTGGCACTAGCTGTGTCCCGGCTGCTTTGGA